GGTTAAGGTTTTGATGTGACTTTATATTTGTTTATTGAATATGTTTCTTTTTCCCACCTCATTGGCAGTATACATTTCCATGTTTTTTACTATTCTTTAACATCTAAAATTTGTTCATCCCAATAAAAAAATCCTACTTATTCCATTTCTTTCTATACTGTTAAGAAGCTTTTTGATCAACTTGCGACATTGTAAACTTCTAGGAGGTAGAGGATCTCAAAAATGCATTGGAAAAGGAGATCTCGAAATTGAAGGTAACCTTTTTCCTTTGTCTTTTCTCATAATTTTACATCTTAAATGTCTTAATACTACTGGTTCCAGTTGAGTTGTGGCTATAAAAAATGTAGCTGAAGCTTGTTGCATAATTGCATTATCAGTACGTGCTACTTCTCATTTTCCTTTGGCCAGCTTACATACTAGTAGCCCCTTAATATTTTCTTTGCTTGAACCTCCCTGTTCGGTAACATAAAAACCTGGTGCTTATGAGGTTTCTGAAAGTGACTACTTAAGTAAAAAGGAGCACCTCATTCTTGTGGATAAGCTTTTTGGTTGGGAAACAAAGGGTCGTCTTTTTAGACAAAAAGACTGATGGTTCCAGACCCTTGGCTTTTTGATTAAGGGTCATCCTCTATAGTCTTTTGAGGATTTGGGAGACCTAATAGATAATTTGTTAGATATGTAAATACGGGTTTGCACCCCCTTCGTACTGTTGGATTAAATATATATGTATATATATATATATTTAAGAAAAGAACCTCATTGTTAATTTTTTAGATTCTTATCTTTTTTATGTAACAAATTTACTTAACTACCCTCATGATATCCACTTAAAATTCATAAATAATTTCTAACAAATATATGTTTTTGTTAATTTTTTTAAAAAATATATTTATTACAAATGTACTTATTTTTTGCTACTAGAACTTTATCTAAATGCATAATAAAGTGTATGTGATTGCTGAAAAAAATGACTTAAAGTAGCCTGCTTTTAAGTTACTTAAAACAGATAAATTCTTATTCAAAAAATAAGTTGTTATACGTTTGTATAAAGTGTTGATTGTAAAAATAAACAGTTATTTTCTTTTTCATAAAAGATTAATAAAAATTATATTAATTGGAATTATTTTATTGATTTACATTATTATATATATTATCAATTTAAGTGGACATCAAGAGGGTAGTTGAATAAATTTGTTAGATAAAAAAATAAGAACCTGAAAAGTTAGGAGCAATTTTCTTAGTGTCTTCTTAAGATTACTTTCAAGAACCCAATAAGTGTCTTGTTCTTTATGTTACCAAATATAGAGATTTCAAGGTAAGTGCTTAAAGCTACGTATAAGAAAAAAAAATTGCAAATAATGCTAAAGACTCATTAGAGAGAACCCCTGGATCTGAAAAAATTAAAGAGTAAAAAGAGTTTCTGAGTTTTCTGCATAAATCTTATTTAGATTCATATTCCGCTCTTTATATCACAACTACAATTGCCCCTAAGGACCAGTAATATCCTGGAGAGAAGTAACTGCTTCCTATATCTACAAGTAATAGAAAACTATTTTACACATATCCTAACAGTCTGGCTCAGGCACTCATTACATAAATTATAATAAAAACCAAACCCAAGACATAAATAAAGCTAAGCCAGAAAAACCTAGAAGACCTAGATCAATTCCTCCCTGCTTTTTCTTGTGCCCCATGCTGATAAACTGACCTAATTCTTTTACTGACTCATAACAAATAAGCTCCTCCAATGGCCGAAAATTATAGAAAGCTGTATAAGTTCGAGCAAGACAAATGGACCTACATTTGAAGTCAGGTATTTTAGTTCAAAATGATTGTAGTTTTTTTGGACTGCTGAACTTTTTGGGGCATGCTTTTATACTTTCTACTCTTCCATTTCAATAAGGTGGAAACTTATTACTTATTCAAAACTATTTGATTTCCACATGCAACAGCATGTTAAAAATAAACTTTATGTTTTCTTTTGTTGTCTCTACCGTGTGTATGTGCATTGCGCATTGTTTGTTTGGCTAAGACATTTAGTTTTTAGCATTTAGTGCTGTTGAAGGAGTTCTTAACCCAGGATAACTTATGTACTATGTTAGAAATAGCAAACTGTTTAGTGATAGTTTAGAAAACTTAAAACATATAAAGAATTTTCCAGGAAGGGTATAAGAACAATATAGAAAAGTTCTTGTTTTGTTTCAAGTAGTAATTATTTACCGTAGAAAATTATAATACATAAACTAACATAACGATCAGTGGTTCTTAGCCCAATGATTTGTTAGGATCCTAGATCCTGATTAAGTAGGAACTAAAGGAAGCAAGAAGAATTGGAGAAGAAGAATAGAAATTGCAGAATTTACAAAGAGAATTTCAATATTCATTCACATTTTTTTGGATGTTATCACAATTACAACCTACTGCCCTTT